AGACACATTTGAAATAATGGTATGTGTCAGGTGTACAACATAGTAACTCAATATATGTAAGTATATATAGTATGGTCAGCTCTAGAAGTGTCCTTAACATCTGTCACGACACACAGCTGTAAAAGTCCTATATTTTAGAACTTTTAAGATATACTTCTTAGTAAATTTCAAATCTACAACACAGTAATGTTGATATTAGTTACTCTCCCAGTTAGATTTTCCTATTTCTCAGGTAAATACCAAGGAGTAGAGGAGTAGAGGTCATTATATTTTTAGTTTTGTGAAACTTACATACTGTTTTCCATAGCTGCTATTCCAGTTTATATTCCCCCCCATCATGCACAAGAGTTCATTTTCCTTGACATCGGCACCCTTCTTCCTCAATTCTAATGTTGAGACCATTGTCAAGACCGAGAACCCCCCCAAAAAATAGGTTTTGATGAGTGTTCTCTCTGTCTCCACTGTCACCTGGAGGGCTGAGGGACACCAGTCTTGCTTAGGCAGCTACACAAGTCTTAGGCCTGGATTCACACTCCAAGTCTTAGGTCTGGATTCACATTCACCACAAAGCAACTGGAGAGGAACCACCAGGCAGATCGCATTACACCGTGCTGAAAACCCTTCGAGGCTTGCAGAAGCTTCAGGACTCAGTCCAGAATCGTAATGGCAGCCTCCGAGGCTCTGCAGAGCTGGGCCTCCCTCCCCAGAGTGTTCCTAAGCTAGCTCCTCCCATTGACAGTGCTCAGTCCCTGACTTTCCCTCTTATTTATTTATAATCAATTTTGAAATATGGCTTGAGTTCAGCTTCCATGCTTTTCCCCAGCCAGGTCTCCCCTTTGTTGATGCTTTGCTGTTTGTGATTACATCGTGCACAAATGTCTGCCCCCATCTTCTTTTGTCTCCACCGGGTCATCCACACTCTAGACAGCTGAGATACTCTGGTTTGAGGAATCTTCCTTGACTCAACCTGCTGATTCCCTTTTGCTTGGTAATGTAACACCCAGAGATGGACTCTTCGTTGCTCATATTCACACATGGAGGTATCCAAGTAGAGACGGGAGAGAAGGTGCTTGGGCGAGAGCCTCCTAAGGATGAAGGCAGCTTGCTCTTAGGTTCTAAGTCTGGCCAGCCAGCACACTCACTCAGCCCAGCTCAGATTTCCTGAAAGTTGGTCTAAACTTCTAATGCCACCCAGACTTTGGAGCTATCGGAGAAGGTACTGCCAGCCAGCCAAATCGTGTTCACTGTGGGCGGACGCATCAACACTGGCTTAACCAGGCAAAGTTAGGATCTTCTCCTTTCTGTGATGTTGGTGCCAGTGCTGCAAGGGCTAGTGAGAGTTCAGGTCACGAGTTGCATTTCAGGTAGGGCCAGTATTTATTCACCTAGGGTGCCCCTTGTGCTTCGTGATGGCTACTTTTAGGGGCAGAGTCCACACTGAGTTGGGAGGCTGACCTTCCCTAGTATCTTGAATCTCGAAGACTCTCCTATCCCAGGGGTCAAACTAGTCTGGATTACTCTGTTCCTACCCACCTATTTAATGGTTAACTCCTACTCACTTTCTGGTCACTGATTAAAGGACACTTCTTCAGTGAGGCTGTCATGACCCCACTCTATTTACATCAAGTATCCCAATTATTATTTCCACACCCACTGTGTGGCATTTTAATTTGAAATTAGGTACATATGTGTGTGATTTTTTTAAATGGTACAATGTCAGTCTTTCTCCAGAGACCAAAAGCACTGTGAGGCCCACCTGTCTTGTGTATATTGTTGCATCTCAGACCTTGCAAGGTGGCTAACATACATAGGAGAACCAGGTATTTGTATGAAGAATGACTGCATGAATAAGGTCGCAGGAGACCTGGGAACTCCAGATCATCCACATCTGTCATCACTTTCCTTGGATTCTGTTTTAGGACTTAGAAACTATGATTTCAGGGGGGTAGACCCCTCTCTCTCCTACCCACCTTTTCTCACACTGTGGGGATCTTCTCTCCTCTCTCCTCCCTCTCTTCAGCACATTCTTCCCACTGCCTTCTGTCTCTCCTAATCATCAGCATCATCATGACTTTTCAGCAGCTACTTTATAAGGACAATTTTATTATATCTTGTCAACCAACCTTCAGTTATCAGCACCTCCATTTCATGGCTGTCCAGTCTGAGTATTAGAGAAAAGGTACTTATGCTAAGATCACAACTATTAAATAACAAAACTGACTCAGAACCCACCAGCTCCTATCTTGCTTAGTCCCGTGTGATTTCTCTTCACTCGGTCACATTTCACACTCATTCCACTTACTGATCTCTTCCAGGCTCTCTATCCAAGGTGTGATTGCACAAACTAGGCTGGCCTCTCTCCTTATGGCCATCGCAGTAGACTTTTTAACATGGGAATTTTGATCTATATACACCTTTCCTTTAGTGCCGATGTCTGTGTATAAAGTGACAATGTTTTTGCAGTGTTGTGTTGTTTTAAACTACATTCAGTGAAACAGTATCTGGAGACAGGGAGTTAAAAATGGTCATAAAGGAGAGAGGGCTCTGGATCAGTACATATATATTAAAAAAAAAAAAGATTTATTTTATTTATGCATACAGACCTGGGGTATAGGCCAGAGGTGTGGTGAGTGAGAGGATTCACCAGAGACAGAGTGGGGAGTAGAACAGGCTGACTGACAAAGTGCACTGCTGAGGGGGGCAGCGGGCGGTCAGGAGAGGTGTGCTGTGCCATGTGGTCACCTTCTGGGCGGGGATCAAACTCATGCTGAGATGACTTTAGCTTCTTAGTTTTGTGCTTTAACCTACTGCGCCACCAGGGAGGGCCCTCAGTACATATATTTTTAAACTTTTAAATTGTGATATAGTTCACATACCAAAAAAAAAAAAAACCTCATTTTACATGGATCATTCAGTGATTTTTAATATATTCAGAGTTGTACAACTAACTTCAAAATCTAAGTTTAAATAGTTTTCATCATCTGCCAAAGAAACCCCTTCCTGCACCCCACTCCACCCTCCAGCCGCTGGCAACCACTAATGGACTGTGGGTAATTTCCTATTCTGTACATTCATCTGCGCTGAATAATATATTAAAGGGGGTCTATGTGGTTGGTGTCTTTCTCTCAGCTAAATGTTTTCAAGCCTCGTCTGGAGCTAACAGGCACCAGTTCCTCATTCCTTCTTATCGAAAATTAATATTCCACTTTGGATGCCCACATTTTCTTTTGGTCCCCCCCCCCCCCCCCCCCCACTACTGGGAACAACGCTATGAACAAGGATTTATACCTTGCCGCCTCCCTTGGGCTTCTAGTGGGGGAAGTGGGGAGCCAGTCCATGCTCAAACTCTGTAACACTGTGGGTGTGGGCAGCCCTTCCTGAGGCGGCTTCTGCCAGAGCCGGGTGACTCCAGACATCCCCTCTTAAGTGTTTCCTCCCCCCAACCCACCCCCTTATTGGCATTTTTTTTTTCCTCTTCACCAGAGACACCAGACACCCTGCTAGTCTCAGGGGGAACCTAAGTTCTCCAAACCAGAAGTACTTGGTAAAACATCTTGACTTCTCAGGAGGATGGACATAGAGGTAAGAATGTTTATCTGTTTATCTGTGGCTCAGCCATTCTGAGGACTGTTTTGTAACAAAAGAGCTCACTGAGTAGGAGGCGTATTTAACTTGCACCGAGGGCTGCTCTCCCGCCGCGTGCTGTCCAAACAGATTCTTAATTACCCAGCTCACTGCCTGAACGTTCTGAAGAATCTCTTTGAAGTTTCTCGGTGGTACTCCTTAGTAAACCTCTACGCATAAACACGGTGTGGGCTTGGGTGAAAATGTCTTAGGTCTGCTAGGGAGTGCCTGGCGCAGAGCTGCCCAGTTAGTTGTCACTGGCTATTATGAAAAGCGACTCCAAAGACCCATTGCGGTTTCTTTTAGGTAGAAGTGACATGTTGGCTTCTTCTGGGTGGGGGGTGGGGTCGGGCACACGTGAGTTGCTTTAGAACCGAGTGGCAGGCTTTCCCAGCAGCTCTGGTGTGCGTTCACACACGCTCCCCCCCCCACCCGTGAAAACCACACGTCAGTTGGCACTTGTCCAGGTTAAGCGAGCTCGTGGCTACCTACCCAAGCAAGTTTCATATCCGCAACATTTGGCGGGGTTCCCCACTCTCTGCCTCCCCCCCGCGAAGTCGTTAGGCTCGATAAGAGCGGCGGGGCGCCCGAGCCAGCGCCCTGCCCTGGTAAAACCTCCCATCCACAGCCGAGGTTTCACCCCCTTTTCACTTGCAGTGGGGCGCAAAAGAAGCAAGCGAGCCCCGCGCGCGAGCCCCCTTCCAGCTCTGGCACAAAAGAGCGGAGGGGCCGGTCCTGGCCCAGGCTGCCGATATCTGGGTGGGTCCCCGGGCTGCAGGGATTAGGGAGAGCCAGCTAGGAAGACACCCCTTGCAGAGCCGGGCGCGCTCCGCCTCGGGAAGCAGCGGTGAGTCACCTCCGAGAGGAGCCGAAGAAAAGGGGAGGAGGGCGCCGGGTGGGGGAGAGCCGCGGGCCGAGGTTCTAGAGCCGGGAAGCCTCCGAAGGAAGAGGAGGGGCCCCGGCGCGTGGGCCCGAGGAGGAGGAGGCGCCGGAGCCGGGGGAAGGAAGGAGGGAGGGAAGAAGCAAGGCGGAGGGAAAAG